CCCTGCCGGCCCGATGGCCCCCAACTATCCTCCCCTGCCAGCCCAATCGCCCCCAACTGCCCTCCCCTGCCAGCCCAATCGCCCCCAACTGCCCTCCCCTGCCAGCCTGATTGCACACAACTTCCCTCCCCTGCCGGCCATCTTCTGGTGACATGAGGGCATCGCGCGAGGGCACGAGGGCTACCTAGGCTTTTATTAGTATAGATTAAACAAAAGTGACCAACATTTCCTGACTCATTACAAGTTCAGTGGAGGCCAAGGTATAGTATGGAACAGAGTATTAGTGTATTTAGAATTCTATGTTATAAGACTGATTTTTCTTTCCAGACAGTGATTTCTGACACATCTGGCTGAGCCATTTGGTTTCAAGTATTGTACAGAACCATGGTTCTCAAAGTGTGGTCCCCAAACCAGCAGCATCAGCATCACCTGGGCACTCACCAGGTGCACATTCTTGGCTCCACCCCTGACCTACTGAACCAGAAACTGTGGGGATGGGCCCAGCAGTCTATGCTTTAACAAGATCACCAGGCGATTCTGCTGCATGCTGAAGTTTAAAAACTGTTGATATAAAAGTAAAAATCTGTGTCTTGTTAAAGAGGAGAAAGAAACTAGTATTTATTGAGTACCTACTATAATATAAAGCTTTGTATACCTTATAATAAGATCCAAGGGATCTAGGTATTGGGTCTTATTATCTCATTTTTTATTGTAATAATAATAATATATGTATATATATTACAAAATTTGCTATTTTAACCAATTTTAAGTGAACAGTTCAGTAGCATTAATTGCATTCCAATGTTGTAGAATGCAACTATCAACACTATCCATCTCCAAAACTTTTTCATCACGCCAAACAAAATCTGTAAACATTACATGTTAACTCCCCATTCCCTCATTACTCCCATCCCCAGGTAACCCCTAATCTACTTTTTGTGTATAATTTCCTACTTCATATAAGTGGAACCATATAATATTTGTCCTTTCGTATCTGGCATATTTCACTTAGCATGTTTTCAATGTTCATCCATGTTGTAGCATGTATCAGAATTTCATTTCTTTTCATGGTTGAATAACCCATTGCATGTATATACAGCATTCACCTGTTGATGCTGTTGGTGGACATGGGTTGTTTATGTCTTTTGGCTATTGTGAATGACGCTGCAATAATATTGTCCTACAAGTATCTGTTTGAGTTCCTGTTTTTAATATTTTGTATTATCCCATTTCTAAGTGCTAAATTAAGGCTCAGACCAAGCAAAGTAGCCAAAGCTAGGAAGTGGACCAGACCAATCTGATGCCTTAGCTCCTCCCACCAAACCCCACTGCCTAAGAGGGCTGGTCCTATCTACAGCCTGTGCCACAAGCATTACGAGATTGCCTGTTACTCAGCATGTGTGTGTCTTTTCCTGATGGTTCTTTTATTTTTCTTCCTTGAAGGATACTGGTTCCACAAATGTTTCCAAGAAAACCTTGCCAGAAATAAGCCGAATGAACCAGTCCCGGGCAGAACAGTGGATGGCAATGACAAGTGGAAGTAATGAACGTGAAGCGACTAAGAGGTGGCTCTGTCCAATAATTATCTGACACTTTTATTTGGTTCTGGAGCCATGTCACTTTACCCTAGACCTAAGAATGAGGGTTTGGCTTTCTTGTGAAGGCACTTGCATTTTAGCCTTGTCTTCTGCCACCTCTTAGTTTGAAGAAGTGATCGATTTATTCATTGAATCATTGTCGACTTAACAGATGTATTCGGGGGGGGGGGAGTAGGTTTACAGTTGCTCGTATCGAAAATTAATACAATAATTAATAAATAATGCAAGAATGAACTCTATTTCATGAACTCATAACTATAAACCTACTTTTTTCCCACCCTATTGAGGACATACAATATCCCAGACACCTAGATGGGGGGGGAGATGTAGGAGTGATTTTTATGTCTTCACTAGAGGTCTGGTGCACAGATTCGTGCACCAGTGGGGGGTCCCTCAGCCTGGCCTGAGGGGATTGACCAAACCAGCAGTCCAACATCCCCCAAGGGATGTAGCAGTGCTCGAAGCAGCAGGTGGCCAGGAAGGAACCTGAGCCCAGGCCCTACTGCACCTGCCACCACTGCTCAGTAGACTCGCTGCTGCTCCGCTGTGGTCTCCCTTCTCTAGTCCTAGGATGATACCAGTGCACCCCTGACCAAAGAGCGGCCACAGGCTTATGCCCAGTCAGTCATGATGCAGGTCCTGATGCCAGTCCCAGTCCAGATGGGGGAGGGACGCACAGCGGGAGTGTCTGTGGGAGAGGCTTGTGCCACTTCAGCTGTGCTTGCCAGCCATGAGCCAGGCATCTGGCGCCTATTGGCCAGCTGAACGGTGCTCTCTCTGTGGGAGTGCACTGACCACCAGGGGCCAGCTCCTGCATTGAGTGTTTGCCCCCTGGTATCCAGTGCCATCATAGCTACCAATCGACTGGTCAAATGGTCACTTAGGCTTTTATAGATAGATAGATGATAGATAGATAGATAGATAGATAGATAGATAGATAGATAGATAGATAGATAGATAGTTTATTCTCTGGAGTTCCATTGTTAGTGTTCAGAAGGATGGATTTATTTAACTCTAGATTACTTGATCAAATCAGCTATGAAGGCTGTTGATAAGTTGTAGTAGTCACATGCACAAAGCATAACCAGCATTTGGAGGACTCTTAGAAGAATCGTTATTTTCGTTAAAAATGATTCCACATCATCAATTATATATTCAGACATGAGATCAGAGGAGGCATGCTTTTCTGTATTTTATGACTTAACCCTTATGTTATTGCTTTTGCAGTGAAATTAGAATGATATTTTCATCTCCTGCTTGTCTGACTGCAAGTTTTTTAAAGAAAAGGTAATATTTATATGAGATTTACCTTCATTTAAAACGGTGGGGAATTTTTTAAATGAAGTCTTTTAAGTCAGTCATTTCAATTTGTGAATTTTGGTATCTACGAACAAAAAGTCCAACATAGAAAATTCCATGGGTTGTTACAGAATTCTTCCATTTTGTAAAGTAATTTTCTATTAGACCACTATTAAGTTGTAATTCCTATTTCACATTGTTTACTTCCTCGACCCTGCCTTCCTCTGTTCTCTGACTGGGAGGAATGGTGTTTTTTTCTGGATCTTTGTTTCCATGAGTATTATCTCATTGCCTTTGTACTTAGAGGTCAAGGCTGTACTTGGCAGTTCTTATTGTGGTGGGATCAGTAAGGAAAACAGATCCTATTTATCTTTAACTAGTCTCTCTATTGCAGAGGGAAATCTAACTTCATATTTGGTTTGACACTTGGTCTGACCTAGTCGTTTAAACAATTCCTTTGTAACATACTCAATATTTGGTCTTCTATTTTTTCCCCTCCTTCTATGCTCAGCAGTACTGTGACTAAGAACCATGAAAAGATAACCTAGGCATTTTAAACATCTTAAGAGTTTACTTGAACAAATATTGATTCAAATGGAGTAGTGCCAAACAGGAGGTGATTAAGAGCACTCTGCAAACAGGGAGCCAGGGGAAAGACCGACATAGAGAAAGTGCAGAAGCAAAGAAAAGAAATTATTTGATTGGCTATAGCTTTAAGTCTAGACTGTTTGTGACTGCTTCTCCTTAGGTTTTGATTCCATAACTTTGAGGCATTTACAGGCTTAGATTTTGTTTCTTTATGTAGGCCTCCATGCCATTAGAGCCACCACAGTCCAATGGCTTTCTTGTTTAATTAAACAGTTTACAACGGAGGTGAAGGGGCCATAGCAACATGAAGGGACCCTTAGGCTGCCCTCTGCTTTCTCTGGACGTAAGTGTCTTGGGGTCTATTTACAGCCAATATAACTCATTCCAGTCCTTTCCTGGGTCAGGTCCCAGTCCTCCCCTTGTTGCGTTGGCCTCAAGTTGGCTCATGGTTCAGAAGATACTGGGTGTACACTCTTCTAACCCCCTCCTGGCCAGTCGGTGGTGCTTGCTTAACCCCTGCTACAGCTATTCCTTACCCCTACACAACTCAGTTGTTCCATTGGTTCATTTTTTCTTTTTAATTTTTTCAATTACAGTTTACATTCAACATTATTTTGTACTATTGTCCCATTGGTTCTCTTGTTGTTGTTGTTGTTGTTTTGTTTTTTGTTTTTACTCTTGACAGTTTTTATTTTTTTAATTGTTTTATTGCTTAAAGTATTACAAAGAGTATTACATATGTCTCCTTTTTTTCCCCGCCCTTGACAATCCCCTGGCCCATTGGTTCTTAACCCAGCTGCATTCTCAGCCACTCCAATAACTTCACCTGGGCACCAGAGCAGCCCAGGGCAGTTAACTGGCATGGCTTCCCACTGGCAGCTCATGAGGCAGTATATTCCTAGAGCTCAAAAAAGCATTCCTGTTCATCTCTATGCATCCTGGACAAAGGTGGGAGGAGAGAAATCGGGACACTGCTTCTCTCTGCTGTTCCTCCCCTTTGCTTTCCTCTTCTTGCCGTCCTTCCAGGCTGAAATTGAGGGACTCTGCCATACAGTGTATCTTCTTTCTTCCCTAACTCTAGTCTCTTCCACACTAAAAGTATTTTTTGTTCAGTTCTTTTTCTTTAAATTTATTGTTGACAGTATTACAGATGTCCCCTATTTTCCACTCCTTTGTCCCCCTCCCCCCAACCCCCACCTCACCCCAGGCCTTTCCTCATACTATTGTCTGTGTCCATGGGCTATGCATATATGCATATATGTTCTTTTATTAAGTGCTTCTCATTCCCTCCACCCCTCTGCCCTCTAAAATCGGTCATTCTGTTCCATTCATCCAGAGAGGGAACTCATGGACATGGACAACAGTATTGTGATTGCAGGGGGTGGGGGTTGGAGTGGGGGTGAGTGGAAGTGGAAGAGGCCATGGAGGGTATAAATGGTGACTGGAAAAATAAAATAAAAATTATATTTATATATAAAATTATAATTATATATATCCATTTATATGTGTGTGTGTGTGTGTGTGTGTGTGTGTGTGTGTGAGAGAGAGAGAGAGAGAGAGAGAGAGAGAGAGAGAATGGAGAGTTGCAATCCCATCCTAGTTGCAAG